CTGGTTAAATAAAGGTAAAGACAAGACGGAAAAGAAAGGAGAAATAAAATCATATTTTGGCTTCAAATTTCTGCTTTTCTTGGCACTCTCCAGCCTGAAAACACAGCGATGTCTTGGCACTATCACCTGGCTGGAAAAACAGTGACAGGATGCTAAAATACACCGACATCAAGGGGCTAAACAGGCGCCAGGAACACAACGATGGGTCGCTCTAACAGTTGTCTGCAGCTTAGCAGGCGTCTCCCCCTCCACCATCCCCTCCACCTCCTGATGACAAAGTCAGCTCTGATACTACCTCACTTTAGAAACACTGATATGATTCATATGAATCGTACAAATATATAACGTATATCTGTGGTGTGCAGAAAGGTTTTCTTGTTGTGAGTGGGCGGAGCATTAACCACTGTGACTGACGGGACAAAGAGAAGAAACATCTGCAGAAACCTCTCAGGAATAAAGAACAAAGAACGGAGACAGCACAGTGTTTGACTGACAGGTGATCTCTGGGAAATGCAGTGCACAGACACCAACAACAATCACAGCGTGGCAGCAGCATCTGAAGATAACCATGTTAAAAAATTAGGCGACAAGATAACAACATTAAAATCATCACTCAGGTTAACTGGTGACAATGTGACGTGATTCACAGATGATCTTCAGGACGTCACTTTAAAAAGAAAAGACGTCACTGATGAGTTTTGTATTCATGTTTTAAACGGTTTAGCACAGCGGATTGTTCTGGAGGAGGAGGAGGAGGAGGAGGAGGAGGAGGTTAGCAGAGGTTTTGACATGAGGATGGGTGAAGCTGTTACCCCTGACCCCTCTGAAGCCAGGCCGTGTCACAGGCTTGTCTGTCAACCAGCAGCCTGATTCTATAGAGGATGACCTCTGTGTTCACCTCCCTCAAGGCCAACAGCGGCCACATGGTGACGGGCTAACTGGATTTGAAAACTGCTCCGGGACACGACGGAGGGAGGAGGAGGAGGAGGAGGAGGAGGAGGAGGAGGAGGTGTGTGATAAGATCCTGATAAAGACACAGAGAGGAACGTCTCAATAACCATCTCACACCTCCATCACTGACAGACGTAATAAACACGCCGATGCAGTAACACGTGACTTTAACATGTTCATTCTGATGAAGACACACAACATCCAGTAAAGTTTAAATCAAGTTTAAGAGTTTAAAGAACAAAGTTAAATGAAGTTCACTGAAAGTAAATTAACAGGGTGAGCTCTGCGCGGAGAGATAAGGGAAGTGCTTTCCTTTCTGTGATTGAGGTGAATCCGACCTTTGACCCGCTGAAGACACAAAATGAAGACGAGTTAAAGCAGAATCTCACTGAGACGTCTCTGCAGCACAAAGTTGTGAGTGCTTTTGAAAGTGGTGCGAGACATGAGCAGAGACAACAGAGACAAAGGGCTTTGGCACAAAGCCTACAACTACCAGAATGCACTGCAACACACCAGAGCAATAAATGCCTCAGAACAGACTCAGAAACAGAATCTTGGTTCATATTTAATCAGCGCTGCTTAGCTTTACTGTTTGATCTCAGTTTGAGTGACATTTTGCAGGTGAAGACCAGGGGCCCCTCACACTATGGGGCCCCTCACACTATGGGGCCCCTGGGCCTGAGCCAGGTGGGCCCGTTCAGTCTTCCATCCATGTATAAACCTGCGCTCACTGCCAGAATCAGAATCAATTTAACCACCAGGCTGAACCTATCACGTCCTGTCTGATCAGACACCTAAACACATCACTGCACCACAGTCCTCAGCTCTGTCAGCGTGGGTGGCCACAGTGGGAACAAACCCCACGGCAGTGTCTGGAGCCAAACTGGACCCGCTGAGCTACACAGAGCGGAAAATGTCCAGGAATTTGTGTGTGTGGATTCGGTGACAAGTCGCTGTCACAGCTCCACTGACACAACACAGTCCAAGGCCAACAGGACATCACATATGTGGATCCTCAGCTATACATATCAGCTGCTAATTATACACTCAACATCCCACAGGACAGTGTTAACGCTCGGCTGCTGCTGCACACACACTACGCACTGCACACTCCTCACTGAGACCCCGACATTAAGATCTTAACATGGCCTCCGTCACCACGGAAACATCTCTATACTAACATCTTTAACGTCCCATCGTTGGGTCGAGGTCATATATGTGTTGAGCAGACGCTGTGACGGTCAGTGTGGGATCAACCTGCTGCAACGACACACACACACTTTATCAGCACAGATCCTGACGCTCTCTAAACACGCTGAGAGTCGCTGCTGCAGAGCGTCCTGAGGGCTGCTGACAGGTGTGTGTGAGTGTGTGTGTGTGTGTGTGTGGGTGTGTGTGTGTGTGTGTGTGTGACAGGGGGAGGGAGACAACTGCTGTTGGTCTGCTGGGAGCAGATGTTGGAGATCTCTGTAAACTGTTAATAGCTGCAGGATCTCATTACATTTAACTCTTTAGATGCCAGAGCTCCACTGGGGAGAGGAGAGCGGCTCTCAGCTCCTCGCTGCTGCTGCTGCAGCGCCACACACTAACTCTGCTCTGCTCCGCTCCGGCCACATCCGCACAGACAGCCTTTCATTTTAACACAATCTATGTACACATGAGCTTTTCAGAAATAATCTCTGTCCATACGAACCACATATGTTCCTAATGACTAATTTATCTGACGTTTAAACACAAGTTTCAAGTTGTTGACTCGTATGAAAGTATGAAAACACTCAGAAACAGTAAAAACTGAGCACAACTTCATCTCTGAGGTGAAATATTGTCTGCAGAAGAACACTGTGCACATTATCAGAGCTGATTAAATCATTAATCACATTTTCTAACAACAAAATGGTTTTTTTAATGCTGCTGAAACACGAGACAACGGCTCACGACATAAAAGTTCACTTTTATCAAAACCAAACTTTTTTAGAAAAAGAAACGTGTCTGATTATTATTATTATTATTATTATTGTTATTATTAGCTGTTGTTGTTGGACATCTTCCATGTGTGAGGTTTTGTGTATTTGACCTGATAACATTTCTGTGTTGTGCTGATGGATGACGAGGGGTTAACAACCTGGCATGTTGGGTTTGTTATTGGTTAACGGATTAATCCCCTGATTATGGGTCATGTAGATGTGCAGACATGAAAATAAAATATCAGTAGTAAGGCTGGTATATTCCTGGTGCCAACTAGTGAGGGGAGCAACGTGTAATCAACTAGTCGACTAACTGCAGAACATCCCTCATACACACACGCCTGAAAACACACGTCACATGACCATCATGCAAACTGAGCACGTGATGTGTGTTCTGCTGTAAACAAGACTCAGACTGTCGACTCTCAGGAAACACTACAAGGATGGCAAAAAGTGAGAGCAGAGATTTCTCAGCTCGGACGGATGACGAGGTGGAACGGTTACTGAAAGTGACACACGAGGAGGACTGAGCGACTGAGAACAGACTGGGAGTCAGTGCAAAGCAAATCTGGTGACAGATCAGAGTGATGCTGAGAGCATTATCCATCACAGAGGAAGTCATGGTGACCCACACAAGACGGATACAGTCACTCAGGTGTGTAGACCTGACTTTAATGTTTCGGTTTGACAGGTTGAGGTTGATAAGAGCCAAACAGGAAGAGAACCTGGAGGTCTGTGCATCATTTTCAAAAGTCTCCATCTCCACCCGTCCACAATGAAACACAGCAGACAGCTCTGGAGTTTTCAAACTCATATAAACTCTTATAAAACAATGGTCTGCACAAAACAAAGGGCCTCACCTCCTCTCTAAGGAGGAGACACACACACTGTGGGGAGGTTTTAAGTCTCCTTGTAGTTGTTTTTGTGTCATAATGCAGTCATTTGGGTCTTTCTGAGATATTTTGGGTCATTTTTGGTTGTTTTGTTTAGTTTGCAGTGATTGTGTGTCTCCTTGTGGTTGTTTGGAGTCTCTTCCTGGTCTGTATGTGTTCATCTTAAAGACACTTTGCAAGTTAAGACCAGGGGGGAGGGGGGGGGGGGGGGGGGTGATGTTAGGTGGAGTTGGAGTGATGTGGACGCTGTAAATGCAGCAGTAGTTGTGCCTTTTAAATTGAAAACGTTTTAGTGAGGATGCAGCCTCAGAGATGCAGTTTTAGTGTCACAAGAAAACAAAAACAAAAATTCTCTCCTCATCATCACTTTACTAAGGAAGGATGGAGTGAGGACAGATGGAGGACGGAGTGAGGACGAAGGACAGGCAGAGGGAGAGTGAGACACAGGACAGAGGGATCGTGGAAGATTTTACATCTCTGGGCATCGTTTTAGAATTTCTACGTCATTAAATTTGAGTTTATTTTGAAGCAAACACACGTTTTGACTGTTTGAATTCCGATGTTGTGACCACACTGAGTTTGTCCTTTAATCCTACAGCTCAGGGCCATTAAAGCAACACTAAAGTAAACCAAGCGCTGTTACTTTAAGCAGTGCCATTCCACATGGGAGCCAGTGTTTAGAGTCCGTCCCATGACAAACTGAGCACAGCAGCTGTTTGCTGCACTGCATTACTGTCAACATTCAGCTAGCACGCGAGCACGCATGTATGTGTGTGTGTGTGTGTGTGTGTGTGCCACTCTGCTCTCAGCACAGCAGCTCGACCCTACACTTTTATTTCAGTCAGTTTATCCGAGGCTCAGAGCGGCCGCATCCTGCCGGAGGCATCCGGCCCTGCAGCGTGTTTTCTGACCTTTATTCACCGTGAGAAGGTTCATGGAGCGTGAGCGCTCTTTCAGCACTCTGCTTCACACCCGTCCACTTATAGACGCTCACACCAGGGAGCATCGCAGCACTCCCGCTCCTCCACTGATGGACACACAGCAGGATTAACATACCTTGCTATAAGGCTCTGTGATGGAGGCTGAAGGTGGGCGGAGCCTCGCCTCCTGCTGACAGTGTTTTTTTGGCGCTGGTGTGAGGAAGTGAATCTTTAAATGACAGTGCCCTTTAGGTGTCAACATGTGGGCTCACCTTGATGCCTCCCATCCTCTGCTCTCCCTTGAACTCTTTGCCGTTCTTCAGCCAGTGGATGGTCGGCGTCGGGTTTCCGGACGCAGCGCAGCGGAACTTGACGGTGTTGGCAGCAGGAACGGCCAGAAGCTTCTTGTCCATCCGGTCAGGCCTGGTCCAGTATGGAGCCTCTGTGGGGGGGAGACAGGGTGTCAGGTCAGTCATGGAAAACTACAGGTCCCAAGTCATCTGAAATATGAGTATCGAGTCATTTGTAAAGACTCTTAAAGCTATAGTGTGTAACTTCTACAGGTCTGTAAATGTCAGTTTCACCCAAGCCACTACTAGAGAAGATGACACAATGCTGATTAAGCCGATCGGCTCCTCTAACATCTCGCAGAATTTTTCAATATATATCATTTTTAGTTTGCATGTCGACCGGCGACATTCCCGCGCTGGCACACAGGAAATGCTTCCTCACAACAAGAAGGGAGGGGGAGGAAGAGCAGAGAGTGTCATAGCAAGAGGTAGAGCGCAGGTAGAAAGAGAAAGCAACATGGCGGAGAACCCAAAGAAGCGGCCGAGACACGGTTCAGAAGTGGATCCTACCACAAAGATAAAGCCTGGACGTTGGGCTGAAGGTCTATTAGCAAAGAAGGAAAGTGACCGACGGAGAAGGCAAACAAGGATTTGTATTGGCGTCGCTTTTCCTCGGTGGAGAGCCCTGAAGGAAGAAATTGGGCTGAGGGCAGACACGGATGTTGCCTTGCTGCTGTTGGATAAGTAAGTGACTAGGTTTATAATTATATTATGAGTAGTATGTGTTGCTGTTACATGTACTGGACCTAGTACTTTATTATTTTCTTGGAAATGGTGCTATGAACGTAATGTAATGTTGGCAGCCTGGTGTTCGCCACGTTGTGTAGCATTGTGTACACGGTGTGAAGCGAGTGTTACTCTGTGTACACGGTGTGAAGCGAGTGTTACTCTGTGTACACGGTGTGAAGCGAGTGTTACTCTGTGTACATGGTGTGTGGCGACTGACGAGTGTTACTAAAACTACTAAAACTTAAAACTTCACTGATTCATTTCTAATTTGTTTGTTTGCTTGCTTTTTTGTAAACTGTACATCTCTGACACTTTCTGTGACTCCTTAGTCTGGAACTGTGTTTAATTCTGCAGTCTTTGTTTTTATCTTTTTCTTTCTATGTATGATTGTTGTTTATCAGGGGCGGTGTCTTCATGAGCCATGTTTGGCTTCTGACCTCTCCGGCACAATGTTTTTATTCCTGTATTTTCTACACTCCTGTGCAAATAAATAAATAAACTAAAATAAATGAATAAGTCAAGTCTCAAATCATTTGAGATGAGAAGTCCGAGTCAAGTCTCGAGTCAGTTGACACAACTTTATATCAATGCTTAAGTCACTCGAGACCATCTGTCGGATAACATCCTCCTCCTCGTCTTCATCATCCACCTGAATGTGACTATCTGACCTGCTGAAAGTAACGACACTGCTGCAGATAAAGTTATGTGTCCTGCAGGTTACGTCACATTTTCTTTAGTGTTTCTTGATCAAACACGCAGAATATCTGTTCCAATAAACTTTGATGACAGGTGAACGTTTCGGGGTCAGTGTGTAAACATGAGGCACAACGAAAGGTCCTCATTATTTTTAAACGTGCAACAATTTTAGACATAAACTACAGGCGTGGTGTGCAAAGACCTTCAGACCCTCATGAGCCTCAAGAACAACCTCTCAGGTGACAAAGGATTTCAAATGAGTTCTTGTCTGTCCTGTAGCTGAGACCAGGTTCTTTAACTGACTTTGGTTCAGTGATTGAAGCAGGTTGAACCCTGAGACTTAAAGTTTTTATCTTCAGGTCTCAGGTCTGATCTGTGTGACTTGACTGTGCCAACATGCACCACTCTCTGATCCGCACAGATGAGCCCTTAGTTTTCCATTTTCTGGTAAATTCTCTTAGATCATAGACGTTTGGGGAAAGACCCTGCAGGAACTCATAGTTACATGTTTGAGTAATAGTTTAAAGATGGCGCAGACATTACAACTTGCTCCTCTGCCCTGTCTTCAGATTGGTCCATGTTGGATGAGTTATGAACACATGTGCAGCTGTGGTTTCACTGGAGGTCTTCCCTCACCGCTCCCAGAAACAACACACACACTACCTGCACACAGTTCTCTGCCCTGCCGTCCCCACAGAAGCTGCTGCGCTCAACGTGCACAGTCGCTGTAAAACACAGTTTGATGCACGTTGAAAGGACACAAACGGGTGTGTGAAGCGTCACGAGGACCAAACAAAGCTCATCATCTCCGTCCCCCTCGATAACAATGGCAGAGTTCATTTGAATCGTGCGATCCTGAGAGAGTGGAAACCTGTCAGGGCGATTTATTGAGTTGTATTGAGAAGACGGAGGACAAAGAGGGTGTAGCCAGTCAGAGAGGCCTATTGTTCCTGCTGTGTGGGTGTGGAGGCTGAGAGCACTGAGGCATGGCTCGCTCTGTGTGTGTGTGTGTGTGTGTGTGTGTGTGTGTGTGTGTGTGTCTCCAGGACAAAAGCTGGGGAGGTGGCTGACCGGTCATCAGATGTCTCTTTTACTTTCTAAATGCAGGAGGAGACAGAGGAGCTAATTACCATCTCAATGTCTGCGCTTGTGTGTGTTCATGTGTGTGTGTGTGTGTTATCAGACTCGGGTCAAACAACAGTTAAGAAGTAACTCTCACCCTCGAGCACCACACAGGTGTGGAGATCGTCAGTGGAGATGCACCGGTCAGTCTCAGATCTGATTCTGTGCTCGTCAAATTAACATGCAGCACGATGATGGTTCACACAGCGGCACAGACACTGTCTGACTGTTGCTGCAGCTTTAGTTTAGTTTACTTTAGTTTAGCAGGATCCCCATAATGCACTGCAGCAGCTATTCTGAGGTCCAAAGCACCTTTACATTTGTGACAGTGCACAAAAAGTATATATAACATTTAACCAAATATGCAGACTAAAACAGTGACACAGACAAACAACAGCTCCTGCTCACATAATCATTAGACAGAAGCTTTTCATGACATCATTTGGGGCTAAACTTTGCTCTGATCACCTGATGATGCTCCATTACTGTAACATTACACCAAATATTTAAATAATACTCAAATACCAACACTTTGTTGTGTTCTGTTTGCACTGGGAAGTTCCAGTCAGAAGTTTGAACTGAAGTCAGATTTCTGATTCAGAAAGTGGGAGGAGCTTCACCAACCTCGACCTCTACGTCCAACAGACAGACAGACAGACAGACAGATGCTTTTATACACAAACAAAGACACAGAAAACAAGAATAAACAGTGACAGTCTGGTCCCAGCACTGTGACAGAGAGCTGTTCCTACAGCAGACATGATGGAGGTGCAGCTTTACGCTCTGCACATTGAAAAGCTGCAGTAATAAACTCTTCATCAGCTCCTCTGTCTCGTTTGTGTCTCGTTAAAACAGTCGTACACAGTCCTGTCCTGCATCTATCTGTGGACACGTTGCTGTCGTGTTTGTACGCACTGAATACAGCGTAAAGTGTTGTGAAGAAGAACCTGACGAACTGTTGATGCTGACGACATCTTGGTTCCAACTCGTGTTGTACTGGAGCACAGGTGTGACGTCACTCACAGCTCAGGGACTCAAAACCAGCAGGTCAGAGTTTAAAAAATTAGAAATCGGAAACAGCAGGTCAGAGGGTTTATTTTGTCTTGTATATTTTTTTGTGGCTCTCTGCCCATATTGTACAGGACAGTCTAAGAATTGAAGGAGAGACAGAGGGAATAAAGTGCAGCAAAGGGCAGCAGGCTGGACTCGAATCTACGGCCGCTGTGTCAAAGACTCTGCCTTCTCGTACACGACGCCTTCACTATAATAATAATAATTTATTTTGCTCTACAATAATAATACACTGGATTTATTTAATGTTTTTCTGGACACTCAAAGACACTTTACAGAGAACAACAAAACAAAAAGAAAAACAAAAATAAAATGATCCATCAGAAGGGAAACACTCAGAGAGGGAGAAGAACACAGTGTGAAGAGGCTGTAGGAAGACGTGTGTTGGTGTGTGAGGTGTAAACCGCCGGGCGCCACGAAAATAATGACAGGATGGACTTAAAAAAATAAAAATAAAAATTAGAAATCAGAAACAGCAGGTCGGACTTTTTAAAAATGGGAATCTGAATTGGAGGGCGGGACCTCTGAAAAACTGGAAATTGGAAAAATTGCAGTTGGTGTGTGTTTTGATAAAAACCTGTGTGTGACGGGCTCTGATCATGTGTGTGTGTGTGTGTGTGTGTGTGTGCGTGCGTGCGTGTGTGTGTGTGTGCGTGCGTGTGTGCGTGTGTGTGTGTGTGATAAAGCTTTGGGTGTTCTGATATATATATATATATATATCTGAGCAGAGGGAGATTCAGTGATGAAAGACGGATCTTCTTAGAAAGCAAACAAACAGAGTGTGTGTGTGTGTGTGTGTGTGGGTGTGTGTGTTTACAGACCCTAATGGAGCAGCTGAACGCTGCTCCCTGCTTCACTTAGAGACTCCCCAGCTCGCTCCATGTGCAACCACACACACACACACACACACACACACACACCGCCTCCACCTTAAAAGGGAAATATCTGTTAGATTTCATGACTCGTGTGTCTCTGCGTCTCCTTGCTCGCGGCGTATTTGTAGCACCACACTGCGCAGCGTGGGACGACCCTCTGAGGAGTCTCAACACATTGTTTTCTTGGCATCATCATCAGCCACACACACACACACACACACTCATGCTCGGTCAAACAGAAACACACACTGGGTTTTTAAACAGTTTCTGTTTCTCCTGATGTGTGGTCTCCTTCCTCCTCCTCCTCCTCCTCCTCCTCCTCCTCGTGAGGACACCTTGCTTCAGCCACACTGATGTTTTTACCCAGAAATAGACGCCTGTGTGGATCCAGCACGTCTCCATGGTTTTGTCCCACAAACACACTGCGCTGCGTATATTCGCTGACCTTTAGCTGCTAAGTGCTAACTGCTGTGTTTCTGCACGAGATCACCTGTCAATCAAACTGAGTGGGCGGAGCTGAAACAGCATCTTTGTGTTTTCTGGCAAATTCATTTTCTGTCACACGTGCCAGTTTTTTGTCTGTTCAAAGCTCATGGCGC